TACAATCCTTCCCCCCCAGGGTCCCTACGCTCTAGGGAAACCAGAACCCCAATGTAAGCTCTGCCACCCTGATACCCCCTTTCTATCCTCCCAAATAAACATCCTGCAGCCGAGAGTCCCCTGCCGCCCCTTGGACCACCTAGAGATCCCCCTTGTGCAGCCCTGTCAGGTGCAGCCTCAGCAGGGCAGATGTGCCTGCTCCCTGCCTTAGATCCAGCCTGGCTGCTGCTGCTTCACAGGCCGAGGTCTCCTCCTTGCCCATCATGGAACCTACTGGGCTCCACCCCCTTAGCCCAGGCTCTGCAGCCAGCACCCCGCCCCGAGCAGGCTGGTGCTGTGTGAGCGGGGGCAGTGGGGCAGGCAGAGCCCAGCCTGGGCCCTGCCCCGCTAACCTTCCCTTGTGCCTTGGTCATGGAGGAGAGACCCCTGGCCTAGGGGCTGGCCCAGGTAGAGCAGTGCTCCCTTGTCCAGTGACTGTCCCCTCTGCAGTGACCCCCCCCCAACCCCCAGGTCAGGTTTCTGCCGTTATCAGGACGCTGTTTTACATTATTGCCAGGTGTAAATTATTTACCCAGATGTAGAATTTGTATCCAGAAATTTGGGACACCCCTGGGTCTTACTGTCCACCCTCCCGTCTCTTCCTCTCCCTGCTCTGCGGCCCTGCTTCCTCCGGAGAGGATCCAGCTCACTGAACTGTGACAAAGCCTGCCAGGCCTGTTAGCAGAGCTGGAGAGAGAGCCATGCGAGCGGTAATGAAGCCATGTCACAGGGGTTTGCCAAGCCCCGCTCTGGACTGTCAGTCAAAGTGGGCCGTGCCCACGCAAGCTCATGATCCCATCTACATGTTTTGTTCGTCTATAAAGTGCTACCAGAACATTTGTTCTTTTTAAAGTTTATTCTGAATTTACTGTCAGTCAACAGGACCTGGCTTTAAAACTATTTCATTAGCGCGTGGCTGAAGATTATAAAATCACAATTCTGAAAATCCCCTCTCCCCGCTGCCATTGGGGGACCAGTTTACAGCACTGCATAGGGCCCCATAACCCCTAAGGATGCCCTGTTGTCAGGGATGCCGTGTAATAAAGGAATCCTGTGTGGTTTTCCTCCAGGACACACTGTTTCAGTGGCCATGATCTGGTTAAGCCAGAGAACTCCATCCCCCCTGGCAAATCGGGGAGCTGCGTGTTTGTGAAAACGAGCTACTCGGCCCGCGGGAGCGTGGGGGTGCTGAGCTACAAGTCCGATGCCTTCACCCTGGCCGTCATGTTCTCCAACCCCTTCGACCGCGTCCTCTACAACTCGGAGTTTGCCATCGAGCTCTTCGCGGGCAGGAAGCACTTTGAGAGCATGGAGCGTCTCTACCAGTATATGTACAACCACGGCCCGCCCTATAAGTGCGAGTCCTTTGAGAGAGTGGAGCTTGAGATGCTGGATGGCGAGCTAGTGGTGACCAACCAGGGGATCCAGGCAACAGCCACCGTGTCCAACAAGGATAAGGCCACCATTAAAGTGGAGATTAAGGGAAAAGATGATCACACAGACAGCCCAAGCAACCCAGGGAAATGGCCCATGTGACAGACCAGAGTGGTAACTAGTGACTCCCAGCCTGAGCAGACAGTGCTGTGCTAACTCTGCTCAAGTGAGTGCACTAAAAACAGCCAGAGCCATGTGGGTGCACATGCCACGGTGCTGTTTGTAGTGCACTGGTGCATGTCTGTCTACCCATGTTCCCTCTATTTTTTAACATCCATGTGAGGAATAAAAGTGGTTGGTATGCACCGAGGCATGTGCACATGTGCACCCTCAGTAGAAATGGAAGCCAAGCTGTGGGTGCTCTGCTAATCAGCTGGGTGGCTCCTGAATCTCTCCGGGGCAACCCCTCAGTGCACAGCTTCCAGGAATCTGCTGTCTACCCAGGCTGGGAAGTCTCCAGGCATCCAGAGGTTGCCATCATTTTATAAAGGAGGTTTTTTTCTTGCTTTTGCTATAACTTCAGATATAATAGGCATATGGAAACCCGAAGCTTCAGCATTGGTCATGGCTATAAGGCCCTGTAAAGCTTTGCAAAAAGGAATGTGATGAACAGTTCCATTGAATTATTTGCAAATGGGAGCTGAGCTGCTTGCTAAGTGCAAACACGTCTAAGAGTGTGACCTTGTGGTATGGCCGCGTAGGTTGTTTTAGTTACATACATGCTTGCCTAAGGAACGTAAATAGCCGGTTACAGATTGCAATGGAAATTACCAGAAAGGCTAAGTACATGAGATCAGATCCTAAGAATGAAAGAATGACCCTACTAGGTTGGCCCAATGGTCTGCCTAGTGCAGTGCCACATGCGTGAGAGGGAATGAACTGAACAGGCAGCTTTGAGTGAGCCGTCTCCTGTTGTCTAGTCCAGCGCTGGTCAATAATTTTTGATGGGGACCCACTCCAAGAATTTGGTCAGTGGTGGAGGGTATAATATTCTTCCATGGTATTAATGGAGGAGGTGCAGGGTCTGGGATGGAGGCTGGGTGTGTAAGGGAGCTTAGGGGAAGGGATTGGCATGCAGGAGGGGATGTGGGATCTGGGAGGGAGTTTGGGTGAAGGAGGTGGTTGTGATCGGGGCAGGGGAGGAGATGCAGGGGTTTGTGTTATGACCTTGGGCAGGAGGGGCCTGTGTCCTGGGGCCAGGGGATTGGGGTGCAGGGTCTGGGAAGGGGGTATGAGTGCAGGAGGGAGGCACAGGATTTGGCTTATGTGGGGTTGGGAGACAGGAGTGGTGGGTCAGAGGGGAAGAGGGAGGGGCTTGGGTGCCAGAGTCCAGCACTGGCTGGGAGAATTCCCTGGGCGATTCCTGGCCAACAGCCCAGCAGGTTCCCTGCCCTCCATGTCCCGGCAGGCTGCTCAGAGCCTGAGGGGAGATGGGGAGGGGCACTTTGTGCACTGCCTGTTCTTCAAATAGGCAGCTCCCACAGGAGCTGCAAGATTGTTTTGGGGGTGGGGCAGTGTGCAAAACCTCTCCCACTCCTCCTCCGGGCTTGCAGCTGTTCACAGACAAACCAGCCTGCAGTCAACTTTTCTGAGCAGCCTTTGGGGGTCAGGCAGGCAAGGAGCCTGGCTGAAGCTCCCTCTGCAACACCCATGGGCTGCATCCAGCAGTGTGGCAGTCTGGATCTAGCCCACAGGCCTTATTTTGCCGGACCCTGGTCTAGTTCCACCTTCTAGCAGTCAGAGGCTTAGGGACACCAGGAGAATGGGATGTCCCTGATGATCTTGGCTAGTAGCCATTGATGGAGCTGTCCTTCAAGATCTTATCTGAGTCTTTCTTGAACCCAATTGTAATTTTGGCCTTGACAACATCCCCGGCAAAGAGTTTTACAGGTTGACTGCGTATTGCGTGAAGAAGAGCTTCCTTTTGTTTGTTTTAAGCCTGCTGCAAATTCATTTCATTGGGTGACTGCGTGTTCTTGTGTCAGGAAAAGTTAACACTTCCCTATTTGCATTCTCTGCACCATTCAAGATTGTACAGACCTCTGTCATACTCTGATGGTGCTCTGTACCCCTCCAGTCATCCCTTTCATGCTTTTGTAATAATTTATGTCAAATTTGAAAACTTACAACTCTCTGAAGAATATTCTCCTGAGAAAATAATAAAATAATAAAATCCTAGGGGTGGAAGAGACTTCAGGAGGTCATCAAGTCTGAACCCCTTCCCAAAGCAGGACCAACCCCAACTAAATCATCCCAGCTTGGGCTTTGTCAAGCCGGGACTGAAAAACCTCTAGGGATGGAGATTCCACCAACTCCCTAGGGAACCCATCCCAGTGCTTCCCCACCTACCTAGGGAAACCGTTTTTCCTAATATCCAATCTAGACCTCCCCCACTGTAACTTGAGACCATTGCTCCTTGTTCTGCCATCTGCCACCTCTCCCATCCTCTTTGGAACCCCCTTCAGGTAGTTAAAGGCTGCTATCAAATCCCCCCTCACTCTTCTCTTTTGCAGACTAAATAAGACCAAATCCCTCAGCCTTTCCTCGTAGGTCATGTTGTCCTCTTCTGGATGCTCTCCAATGTGTCCACATCCTTTCTGAAATGGGAGGCCCAGAACTGGACACAATACTCCAGAAATATGTGTAGCAACACTGGAGTCCTTTGCAGGGTGTTCATAAGACATACTTGAAGTCTGGGAAGTGACCACAAAAATCTACATCTGACAAAGGCTGGCATTCCCACTCCCACTGACTTTTTGTTTCCTGAACCTCCCCTGAGATGGTTCTCAAAGAAGGGAAAGGACAATAAGAAGGAAGGGCAGATGCCGCAAATAATTTCTCCCCTTCTCTCTGCCAATGGCACCCACAACACCCGGAGAACATAGAAGGCACCATTGGACCAGGGAGGGATCCTGGCTGCGATAAGAGAGGCCTTGCTTTGATTTCATCAGCTTGTGATAAGTTTGCTGTTAGCTGCATTTTACTTTTATTTTTCTTGTAACCAATTCTGATTTGTATGTCTCATTATTTGTACTCGCTTTAAGTCCATTCTTTTGTAGTTAATAAACTTGTTTTATTGTTTTATCTAAATCAGTGGATTTGAATGTTTGGGGGAAACTCCGTTTGGGGTACCAGGATTCTATGCCTGCCATTTTCTATTAATAAATGCTGGAATTCATCGGAGCTTGTCTTGTCCGGGAGAGAGCTTGGCAGAACAAGAACCTCCTCTCAGGGGAAAGTCTGGTGTCCCTCTGCAGTGTAATTCAAGAGTGGCTGTTGGCAGCACTCATACGTGGGCAGTGTAATAGGACCCCCAGATTAGAGAGCCGAGGGGACACGGCTGTTCATCTGTCCAGATCCTGGATGTGTCACAATCTCCCCTTAATTGTATCTTTTCTAAGACGAACGGCCACATCTCCTTCATGTTTCCTACTAGGAAACTGTTCCATAAGCCTGATCATGTTCATTGCCTTTCTTTGCCCCTTTCCCAATTCTAATGTATCTTTTTTGAGATGGGGCAACAAGAATAGCATGCAGTATTCAAGGTATAGGCATATCATGGATTTAATAGCATTAGAAGATTTCTGTCTTATTCATCCCTTTCCTAATGGATCTTCTGTTTTCTGAGCTATCCTTTTCTGTTAGCTTTATTCTGCTGCATGTTGAGCAGAGATTTTCAGAGAACTATCCAAGAAGTCTCCAAGATCTCTTTGCTGAGTGGCAGAAGGTAATTCAGACTCCTCTATTTTATACAGATAGATGGGGTTATGCTTTGCAATGTGCATTACTTTGCATTTACCAACACAGAATTAGTTTGCCATGTTTTGCGAGATTCCCTTGTATCTCTTCGTAGTCCACTTTGGACTTAACTGCCTTGAGTCATTAGTATCATCTGCAAACGTTACCATCTCCTTACTACCTCTTTGCCTGGATCAGGGGTTCTCATACTTCTTTGCACCATGACCTCCTGCTGCCAACAAATATGACTGCATGACCCCCAGGTGGGGGACTGTAGCCTGGACCCATTCCGAGTGGGTTGGGGCAAAGTCTAAGCCTCACTGTGAAACGTGGAAGGGACCCAAGGTCTGAGCCCATTGTCCCATGTCTAGGTAGTTGAACTCAGGCTTGAGCATCGGTCCCAAGTTCCCAGTGACTCCATAGAAACAGGGACGTGATCCACTTTGTGGTCCCGGCCTGCACTTTGAGAATCACTGTTCTAGACAGTTTATGAATATATTGAACATCAGTGGTACTGACCCTGGGTATTTAACTCGCTTCTACATGAAAGCTTACCATTTATTCCTGCCCGTTGTTTTGTATCTTTTAACCAGTTACTAACCCACAAGAGGGCATGTCCAGTGCTTTGCTTAAGAGCTCCTTTTGAGGGACCTTGTCCAAGGCTTTCTGAGAGGCCCAGTGCAGTATGTCCATTGCATTGCCCTGGTCTACATGTCTCTTGGCCCCCTCAATAAATTCTAACTGAGTGGTGAGGTATGATTGCTCTTCAGAAAGTTGTGTTGATTCGCTCCCTCATATTGGCTGTGTCTAGACTGGCCACTTTTTCGGGAAAAGCAGTTGCTTTTCCGGAAAAACTTGCCAGCTGTCCACACTGGCCGCTTGAATTTCTGGAAAAGCACTGACGATCTCATGTAAGATTGTCAGTGCTTTTGCAGAAATACTATGCTGCTCTTGTTCGGGCAAAAGTCTTTTTCCGAAAAACTTTTGCGCAAAAGGGCCAGTGTAGACAGCAGAGATTTGTTTTCTGCAAAAAAGCCCCGATCATGAAAATGGCGATCGGGGCTTTTTTGCAGAAAAGCGCGTCTAGATTGGCCACGGACACTTTTCTGCAAAAAGTGCTTTTGCGGAAAAGCGTCCTGTCAATCTAGATGCGCTTTTCCGAAAATACTTTTCACGGAAAACTTTTCCATTAAAAGCATTTCCGGAAAATCACGCCAGTGTAGACGTAGCCATTGTGTTTGTCTCTGTGTCTGACACTTTTGCTCTTTACTGTACTTTCCCAGCCACATCACCTGGCAGTCATGGTAGGCTTACTGACCTGCAAGTGCCAGGATCACCCCAGCACCATCTTAAGAGACAGGTGTTACACTAGTTCCCCTCGAGTCAGCTGGCCAGAGGCTGATTTAAGTGATAGATTACCTCACAAGAACATAAGAGCAGCCAGACTGGGTCAGACCAAAGGTCTGCCGACAGTGCAGGGGAAACTGAGGCAGTCCATGGTATTTTACTAAGACCCTCTATTCAATCTATCTATCCTTAATTTGAAACAGAGTTGGGAGCAGCACAGCACAGGCCGTAGTATGACCCTGGTTACCTTGGCAAGCACATTCCAAGGGGCCGTAGTTATATAAGGCACTGGCCGGTATCACAATAAATTTGTTTAAGTTAATGAGTGGAAGTTGAACTTACTGTCTTCCCTTTGATCCTAGACCCCAGATGGGAACACGCCAATGCGAGGCATATCATCCCGTAGTGGACACATCATACTTTTAATTGTTAAAGCTACCATTAAATGTTTAATGTTTATGTT